AAGAGTCATTTTTTGGTAAATTTTGCAAAAAAAAATGCACTGATTCACATTAAGTTTTGCTTTCACCATTTGTGACTAACGTCGACCCAGGTTGCAAAATTTGCTTTTTGAATTTTCATTCTTTTAGTTCAGATAATTTAAATCTGCATTTTGTGTTTAAACAAAATAAAACCAAAGGAAGAGAGCCGGTTTCTGAGAAATTAGCACAGAATTTTCCGACCACAGTCTTAAAAAAAATTTAAAAAGTTTTTATTTAAACTGGTATAACGTTTTTTCTGCATGTTGTGATAAAAAAATATAAGATCTGCACGAAACAATAGAATTTAGGCATATTTGAGATTCATATTAAAATAGGTCAATTGGAAAACAGTTTAAAACAAAAATGACTAGAAAAACGAAAAAACCATTTTAAAAAATTTGAAAAAGTTTCAAAAATTTCAATTTTTTTTGCCTCACTTTTTTGATCTTTCAAGTTTTTGATTCCCAGAATTGCGCTAAAAAGCTCCAAGAACTACCTTTACTCCTTTATTTGAGTAAAACTAAGTTTTTACTGCTTAACTTATCTTAAATAAGCTATTGTAAGCCTGCACGGTCACCATATTAGCTCGATATGAGACCAAAAATCAAAAATTTCAAACTGGTTTTTCTGAACACTTTTTTAAAAATTTCAAAATTTTTGATGTCGTTCGAACCACGACTGAGAGGGCTTCTATATGATATATTACTCGATGGTCGGAACAAAAAATTTCAAGAAGTTGAAACTGCTTTAAACTAAATATTAGAATCAGTGTAATCAACCCAACTTTCTGTGGAAATTTTGTAAAGGTATTTGAGCGGCTCAATTAATTTGAATTGGCTAATTAAAGTTGGTAACACAAAGTTCTCGGATATTATTCTAATTTGCATGGAGACACGCTAATTGCTCCAAATACTGAAGATGCAAATTTGTTGGACTTGCACTCATGATAGCAGATAATTTTGTAATGGTCAAGGCAACGATATATGTCAGGGGGCTCAAAAAAGCGGAAAAAATTCTAATAAAAAAGTAGTTCAAGCATAACTATTCTTTTTTTCCTTTGAAACAATTTCTGCCTTGGCTGCCTTAAACAGTTAAACTACAGAAAGGCATGGACTAGAAAGATTAGCAAGCCGTCAAAAAACAGTTCAAAATAAACAAATTGTGCAAAATTTTTGAGGGCAGAGTTCTACCTTTTCTCGTTGGGTATTTGTTTTCATTGCTAGAAGTTATCATTTTCGGATGTGTCAAACTCATTTAGAAGTCTCATTTACTTTCAAGCAAGCTAAGGTTTAGTCAAAAACTATGTATCGACACACTTTTGGCAGATCATGACGAGACCACAGCAAAAAAAAATATTCATTTCAAAAACAGATTTGATTATAATAATTATAAGTGAACCCTTTTTTCTCTGCTCTAAAGAAATCTTAAGATGTTTCTGAAGGTTGTTTTAAAGTTTCGGAAAAAATTTCATAATTTTAGAAGCAGTAAACCTGGGAGTTATAGGTTTACTGCTTCTAAAATTATGAAATAGATCCATGGTTTCAATATTGAGAAAATTTACTTTTTAAATTTAAATCATCTGCTCCTGGTACCTCCACAATAGCCTCTGGAACCTACACAAGGGCCTCTATTGCCTCCAATATATGGGCTCTCTATAGCCACTTAACAGAGCCCATAGTTTGGAGGTGATAGAGGCCAATACTGCAGAAGATTTGCTCTTTCCTCCACAATACCCCTCCATAGTGTGTAGCCATTATGAGGGGTTTTGGAGTGAGGAATTACTCGAATTTTATCCTCTTCATGGTAACACAATAAAAATTTTGACTTCTTTGAGATTTGAACTCTTGAATTTTTTTTTAATAAGAGTGTTATGCACTAACATCTATGCTATGTGAGGTCACAAATTCAGCAATATATTTTTGGATATGACTAGTTTGTCTTAAAAATTGCGTTGAAATTTGCGGTTTTCACTTTGTTTATGCATACTTCGAACTCTGTTTCATTTAGCACACTTTATAGTTATTTCATTATTTGTTTCAAGCTTAACTTTTTTATGCCGACACTATGATCTATGAGGATAACAAAGAATCTGGGACAATTTTTCATTAATTGTTAGTTGTTATCTGGGACAAGATGGAATAAGACAAGTTGCCTTGTTGGTCAAGTTGGAGTAGGACAAGATGGGCTGGGACAAGTTGATCAAGTTGACCTGGGGCAAAATAACATGTAACCCTTTTTTCAGTTATACTCTTCTGCAAATTGTTTTAAGCCCACTTGTGATAAATGCAGCTGAATTTGAGCAAAATTTTGAAATTAGACTCCGTGAAATTGGAATTTGGTGAGATATATAATTTTGCGAAGGAAGAATTCAAAAAAGTTTCACCGTTATCATCTGTAGGATAAATTGCTTGCGTTGTAACTAAAATTTTCAGAAAGGACGTTTAGGGGCATTTTTTGGACGATATTTTTCAATGTTTGTTTCTTTTAATTCGCACATTTGTCTTTTTTTTGCATGTGGAGAAAAAATCAAAATTGGCTTCTAACAACTTATCAATTTTTAATTTTTTCATAACATTATGAAGCACTAACGCTAGTATTGATTTAATACGAAGAGTGACTTTTTTCTAACTAGGACATAAAAGGAAAAAGAAAACAATTTTCTTTTTTTTCTTGTAAACATCAAACAAAATTTTCGAAAAGTTTTAATGTGATAAATATACCAATATAATCTAATGATGACTTGAGGTACCCACTTTTGAGCGAAAAAAATAAAACAAAGAGCAAACATATACGAATGCAAATTATCATCACCTGCAATTTATGCTTTTAAAAGTGCTGAAAATTATCAAAATCTACAAAAGTGACAAAGATAGCCAATAACTGTGCACGAGGCGCAGAATGTTCCGACCCTAGTCTTAAAATAAACAAAATTTTCATTTTCAAGCAAGTGTCGTTTCTGCGTGGTGTGATAAATTTATTCAAAGAAAAAACTAAAACTGAGGCGCATTTAACAGTCATAGTAAAAAAAAGCAAATCGTCAACTCTTTATAAAGACAAATCTATAGAAATACAAAACAAATCAAAACAAAAATCAATAAAAAATTCAAATTTTTTTTCAATTTTTTTTGCAGAAAGTTTCAGAAGTTTGGAAGTTTTGATTCATAAAATGGCAATGAAAATTCCAAAAAGTAATTCTACCTAAATCGAACTCCACTTTGCGGCTGAAGCTAAGCATCAATAAGCTATTGGTAAGCCTGCTCGTTTGCCTTGTTCGATCGAGTAATGACTAAGAATCAAAAAAATGTATACCAGTTTTTCTGGATACTTGGACACTATTTTGAAATTTATATTTATGTTTATAAATTTACGGCCTAAAAAGCTTTGATTTGATATATAGTTCAATCTCATCCCACGATTAGTTCTGTAACCTGATTTTGCGTAGAAAAAAAAGAAAAAATTAAAACCCACCTGAATACAATTTTTTCCGCAATTTCAATGGTCGGAACAAAAACATCGTTTTCTTGATTGTGTCAATTTCTGAAAAACTGAAACGGTTAAAATCATGTTGTTGTTAGAGTGTTATTATAGTGGTGTGCTCACTCGGCTAGCGCCATGCAGATCAGGAGGGAGCAGAGTGTAGTAAAAGTAGGTATGAGTAAAAAAAAACACCCCGTTTATTTTCCTTATTTTCTTCGAAAGTCGAAACAAAAAGGCAGAAGAACAAAATTAATGACAAATTATACGAAAAAGATAATTCGCCACCCTTTATTGTGAGACAAACCTCTTTTCGATGAGCACAGCAAAATTTATTGATATTAGGCGCGGTTCAAATCCATTAAAGTATTTTTGAAAGCAACCAGAGGTTTTCCGGAAAAAATTTAATCGCAGCAAAAAATCTAAATTCCTTGAGTTATTTTAATTTACTTAAGAAGTTGAACGATTTTACGTTTTTTTCTCCGAAAGCCAAAATCTACGATACTCGGATTATACGATTATATGCTGTAAGATTTTTTCATTATAGGTCAAAACACTGTCGTAGCCCCATGTTTCGTTTCTCCAGCCTGTGTTAATACAATTTTTCGAAAATTCCCGCTCACATATTTTTAGATGCTTTGGTAGCTCACTAAGAAACTTTTTCTAAACTGCGCAAAAAACTTGAATTATCTCAAAATAAAATCAGTTATTACGCAGAACGCGGTCACATGGAAAAAATCGGATCAAAATTTGCTCGACGCAAATGAAAACGAGCAGTCATGTTTGATTGAATGATAAAGAACCAGACATGCTGGCGTCAGTGGCGGATTTAGAGAGGTCCGGTGGACGCATCACATAAGGGATTCGACTCCCTCATCATCCAAAGAGTCCCTCATAGATTCGTCCATCTCGCCACCCAAAGGATATTATTTTAGGACATATACGTTTCTATAAACGACCCAAAAAATTTTCCAAAACAATTGACGCTAATATATACCAACTTTGAGAGGGAGCGATTTTTTGGTCAAATTTTTTAAATAAAAAAAGTGGCCAAAAAGTTTTTGTTGACAGGGTCGTTCTAAAATGTGGTCAAAAATTGCCAACCATTTTTTTCAAATGGTCATTTTGGAGAGCTTGGGAAATCAATTTGTTCGACGTAACAAAGTTTAGAAAGGCGGTGACGTGCATCGAGCCGTTTTCCTGGCATTTTTAGTTATTGGACTAAAACTATATAACAATAAATACTTTAGAGGTCTAGTTTTAATTTATTTGGGTCAACTGCTACAGAAGAGCCATTCTATTCACATTTCATGTCAACACCAGTGTTATATTTCCATATAAGACATCAAAACTTTATTCAGAAGTCTTGATTATTTTTTTTTTCTGTTGAAATTGGTCTAAATCAATGTGAACAAAAGTGGTTTCCAATATCGCACTAGTAAAAAGTATGTAGGATCCAGATGTTACCACATCTCAAAAACACTACTTAACGTTTCAGTATTACCAACTCAATATATTTTTATATGCACTGTATATTTGATAAACTGGATATTGGACAGCTCTGATATTTGAACTTCATTTTGTAAATCTTTCCATCTTCTTGTCAAGTCTGACGCTGTTTCCCTACAAATTTATTATTTAATTTTTTCAGCTAATTTGAAGACTAGTGCAAACAACTTATAGCAATAAGACGTGTAATGGGCGGTGATGAAAAGGTTAGTCACAATCGAAGCAGGAATATCATAATATCAACCAGACTGCTCGTGTTAAACAACCGTGAATGTTCTGAATGTACTTTAGGTTATCCGAAATAAATTTTGGTTTAAAATTTTGATACATTTGCAAAAAAAAAACTTTTTTAAATCTCAATTTAAAAAAAAAACTCATCCAGACCAAATGTAAACTTCAAATGATATGTCATGTCTACTCACACATTTTTGGCATCAATTAGTGGACCTCAATTTAATCTGGATTGATTTCTGTCGGATGTTTTCGCCGGCTGTTTTGAAGCCATTTTTGAAAACATTTGAAGCCGGATGTTTTCGCCGTATTTGCTTATCTTTTACAGAAAACTCGAAGTTTTGGGCATTTACCATCCCTGATCAGCACTTTTCCAAATCCAACTTTACAAAAAAATAATCAAAAGTGAAATACATTTTTGATTTTGAGCTCAGAACATCAACACTTTTGAACCTTTGCCAGAAATTAAATAATTAAATAAAAAGTCGATTTTGATCTGAATATAAAACCACCCCAAGCATAAATATTGTTCCGTCATTTAGTTCGAAAGATTTCCATATCAAAAATTGATTCAATAATCATTCAGACCAGGCTAGTCGTCCTTTGTTACCACAGCTCTATGCTAATTTATTTGAATATACTTTTCAACTTGAAATCATCACGCTTAGTGAGTTTAATCAAAACGTTACACTTAAGTTTCGTAGAACTGAACATCCTTAATAAAGCTTAGATGATTACGGCAATGATAATTGCCTTAAGAAATGAATAAAGCACACTTATCACAATTGGAATCACATATTAATACCTCGTTTGTGAACCTGCTTGGGTTACTTAAGCTACCCTAGCGACTAAACACCCAGGTAATTCTGCGACAATTTATCCTCACTAAAGCTGAAATATTTAAATTGGATCAACGAGCTGAAAAAGATTTTGCAAACAGAGGTTATTTCAATTCCCTTATAAACTGCAAAGTATCTGCACTAAATTTTGAGTTCATAGTTGCAGTCCCATATTCATGCTCAAATGTTATTGCTATAAAAGTTTCTTCTAATTTTAATTGCAAATTTAATTGCAATTTGAGGATCAACTTCTTCCTAGACCCGGAAACACTCCATAAAGCCTAATAAAAGAAAAACAATGCTTCACCGTGCCAAATGTTACAAAAAAAAATAGTCTCGGTTGCTGTGCAAATAGCAAAAAATTGTAAAAATGGAACAAATTTTTTTTTGCAAAACACAAGCAAAACACTAAAATTTTGCCATTTTTGGATGCGAGGGCAGCCCCAAGCGTTGAATTTAGCTTCCTGAAAAATATTCATAGCTCATATATATAACCTGATTGTTCATAACACAGTTATAGAAGTAATTAGGAAAGAATTTTGGATCTTCCGTCCGCCACGCTTTGACAAAACTAAGATTGCAATTGGTTAGAATTCATTTTCAAACAAAACTTCTAATAGTAAAAAAAAACGATCGTATTCAGCCCAATTAGACACTAACATTGATAATGTAGGACAAAAGTGCCCAAGTTGACAAAAATTTCTATCATACAGTTTCATGCTATGAAAAAATGCTTATCATACTATTTCATAGACCAGAAAAATGTATGAAAATAGCTTTTTTTCCATAGTATGAAATTTTATAATGAGCAATTTTGCCAAGCTCTGGATTAAATAACAAGTTTTTTGCCATACTTTTTATCACAAAAATTTTATGAGAATAGCAAAAGCAATTTTTTGTACTATGAATTTGTATAATAAACGTTTGCCATAAAAGTATATTCGAGCGCAGAAGCAAGTTTGCAAAAAGGGATAAAAATCTTACCTCAAACTTGTTATATTTTATGGAAAAATGCATATAAAAATTTCATATATAAAAATGTTCAAAATTTTATTTTTTTAAAAGTTGCTCTAAAAAGTTCAAAAATATTCAAAAGTTGCTCTCATTTAATCAAAACTTGTACCAAGTTGTTTAATTTTAGTTTTAAACCAATTTGAGATAGTTTTTGAAAGAGAACTTTCGATTGAAAAAACGCTTGTCATACAATTTTTCTATAAGATAAAAATTTTTTCTATAGACGCCATATATGAAATTGTATGATAGGCATTTTCCTTGTATGGACGTCAAGTTGGTTCAACTTTCTTGCATATTATTAGTTTTTATAGTTTGGTATCAGATCAAAATTGAAACAAAAAGTCCAGTGAAACGCGTAAGTTATAGTTTTTTTCAATTTACCCCTTTTATTTGAAGATCAATAAAATCAGAATAAAGTTTGTAAGTCCTATTTTAATAAAAAATTGGTAATTTGATGTTAAAATAGGAATTCAATTTGAATGAAAAAAATTCTGGGGTATATTTAACTAGCCATATTGACTTTTTAACTAGCCATATTTTGTGAAAATGTTTTTTATATCAGTCAGAAAGTATTGTTGTTTTGAGCTCAAATTTAGAAAAATATTTTACCTCTGAACATTTTTGTAAAGATTTAAAGATTGCCAATTTGGGATAATTAGTGCGATTTTTGTGCTCTTAACGTGTAAGCGGAAATTTAATCCGTTTTAGAAAAAGTTCCAATTTTGATTGAGGCATGCTATTTAATCTATTCAGTTTGCTAAATGTATTAATTTGTTCCTTACATAGCGTTTGGGGTGATCATTTTTGCAAAAACTTTTAAAAAACTTAAAACTTAGAAAAAATTTTTTTTTGAAATCTTCATTATTTTTTTCTGAAAGTGAGCTCTACTCCATAGGTTTTAAAGGGCAGTCGGAACATTCAGGGGACCACCTCGATACATGCATATTTTTCCTGCGGTCATCGATTGCATTTTTAGTTTCACTAATCGCCTCCATCAAAAATCTAGAAAATATTTCAACTATAGGGCGGAAACTCTACGGTACATCAAATAGAGGGTTGGCAAAAGAGCGAAAATAATTTGAATAATATTTTGCGACACAAGAAAAAAAAGTTCAAATTTTTTTTAACCAGCTTGATTTACGACCAGGTGGGAGACAAATGGGATCTCTTTCACTATTCTCCCTCCTTTTGCAAGGGGGGAATGCGTTACTAGGTACAAATTCGCGTATGTACAACCATTGAAATATTTCAGTATAGGGGTGGCAATTCTTTGCTAGGAACCTAAGGGATGAGTTTTCGAAAGATCCGGCAAATGATTTATTTATCAACCACATCTGATATTCAGTTTTTGGTAGTACATAGTAAATCGGCGTGAAAAAAAAACGTTCCAATCTAAAAACTTTTTCCATTACAACGTGAATATTAATTGCGCTGCATTTTTTTATTCGTAAATATAAGAAAAACGTAGTACGAAATGAACAATATTAGGAAAAAATGGTCGTTGTCTAAGACTGGCATCTCAGTATTCAAGCAGAATTCAAGGGCTGCTCATTCTCTTATAATATGTTTTACTTCTTTTGACACAAATATTACACATATAGTGTTGTCTTAACAAACAACTATTGCATTATGAGGAAAAATGCAATTAAAAATTGGCAATTATTTTTGCCCTTGAATTAGTTGAGAAAAACTGCAAATCAATTAAAATAACTAACTGATTCAAATAAAAGGTAACTTGATTGACTCAATCGATGTAGTTTTTCTAACCCCTGATTGCAAAATCGAACCATTGAAATTTAACACGTTCGCATACAATACCTTTGCAACACTAATAACCTGTTTTGCAGGGTGATTGAAACTAAATGAGCCAAAAAAAAACAAAGACTGATCTGTTTACTGATATTTTAAGAAGATTTCTAAAGGATACGTTGCCTGCCATTACTGCTGTACTCGACGTCTCAATTTTCTTTGCTATAAGTATTTTTTATTTAATTCAGTTGCTATTTAATGTTTTTCCTGAAGATGAAGAAGTTTTGTTCCATGCTCTCATTTTTTGAAAATAATCAAATCGCTGAAAACAAATTTTCAAATCATGTACAGATATGAATTCTGGATAAAAACAAGTTTTCATTTTCATTTTAAATTATGTGTAGAGTGTAGTTTAAAAAATTTTAAAAAATACTTCAGTTTTTCATAATTATGTCATAGTTTTTTGAAAATAAAAAAAATTATCTCCCCCCAATTTAATTTCTATTCAATTTTTATGAAACCTTAATAAATTCCTTGTTTGATTACTGCGTCTACATCTTTTTTTGAAAAGAGATGACATATCCCAACGGAGACTAACTCGTAAAACCGTAAGAAATCTTATCCTATCAATTTTTTCATGTAGTAAAGTTGCAACTCAAGCGCTTAGATTTAGGTTAAATATTGCATAACTTTGCTCAGCAAAATAATTCGATTCTTCAAAATATAGAAACAATCACTCATCTGGAATTTACATGTTTTTTCTTCTTTTTTTTAAACTTCGTTTTTGATAACAATCAAATGTTTGAGTTGTTCTTTAAATAAAATTAGTCTATCTATCTCACTCTCTCTCTCTATAATCAACTTATCTCTTCGTACGCTATCAGGAGCCACTTAAATGAGTAGAACTACTCTTTGGATTTTTCCCTCCGGGCAGTGAATTTGAAATCTACTGCTTCTGATAACTTCAAATTCAAATGTTTGTCATGTTTTGAGCTAATTCATTTGGTTTTGGGCTTTTTCCTACCCCGACCCTCAGATATACGGTGTAACGGGAGGGGTGTTACGAAGTTAAGTATGCAGTCAAATACGTTTGATCTGGCCTAAAGTCCGCAATCTAATTTAAGTAACAATCGGACAATGTGAACAAACTGCTTGTACAAAATATTACGTGGGAGAAAAGGAAATGCAGCCGTTTTTGTTATATTTTGCTCTTCTTTAGTAATTTACCTATAATCATTATCTATTCATTTTTTGCGGTTTTTTTAGTTTATTTTTCATTAACTTCCAGTTTTGTATTTTAGGATTTGCTGTCCTATTAAATATTTGTAAATAACAAAGGTTCACGCCACTGAACCTACATTCAGGACAAGAGGTATAATGCGCGTGAATCGGTTTTTATCACTTGAAATATGGCTACGAACTGTCGCCTAGTTCGAACCGTCCCTTGATGCGAGTTGTCGCGTATTTGAAGTAAGAATTAGGGCGATTATTTTATGGGGAGGTTTTTTATTCATAGCAGTTTTTGGCAATCAAAATCATTGTTTTCAACGAATATTTTTCTACCCATTCCCTACATAACTCAAATATTAGCACAAAATTTTTAGCACAATATTGGCACAATTTTAGCACAATATTTGACAAATGCAGTACAAAAATTTTTGATTGTCATAGTTTTTGATGCCAAAACTTATTAGAGACAAGTTAACGTGTAGTCAGAGCATTCACGGGTTTGCCTTGATATGCGGAGCTGTCTTGTTGATATTCAAGATAGTTTAGCTTATTAAGTAAGCGTTCGTATAAATGACCTTTTTTCACCTATGATAAGTCCCTCATTGATTTTCATTGGCTGAGCGACAAAAGCCCCCGAGTCAGAAGCCCCCGCGACAAAAGCCCCCGAGTCAAAAGCCCCCGAGTCAAAAGCCCCCGGCGCAAAAGTTACATGTACATGAACACCTACATGCAAAAGCACAGGGGGCTTTTGACTCGGGGGCTTTTGTCGCTCAGCGATTTTCATTGTTTTAAATCTGAATAAATAGTAAACGTTGAATGCCTTAATGGAAACTGAACAAATAAATGATTTAAGAATTTAATTATGTAGCGGTAGCCATAGATTGCAAAACTACAACTCTATCAGAATTAAGAGCAGTTGTTGGAGCTTAAACTGAAATCATATTCGAATCTTATGTCTTTTTCAGGAAGAGGAGTTCACTGGGCCACTGTCGGACAGGAGCTGCACTGATGTCGTGTTCCTTCTTCTCTTCGCAGCATTCATTGCAGGAATGGTGAGTGCAAACTTTTTTAATTTTTTTTCTCAACCAGCTAGAAGATTAACCTGTAGGTTAATTATTTAAAGTTGAACTAGAAATCATTTAATCATTGAGCCCATTAAGCGGTAATAGCAGTCCAAGTGCAACTTGCACCCATTACGCATACATTTCCGTAATCAAGCTAAACTCATGTTTTATGTGTATTAAATCAGAACTTGATTGGAACAAAAACTCAGCCAAATTTCTTGTATCAAGTAACAATATAAATAAATAATATAAAAATGAAATTATTTTTTTAAAGATATATTTAAGTACAAAATTTTACATTTTGCGCCACTAAAACAAAAATTTTGATCATTATTTTGCTTCATCCTGAGTCAAATTGATTTATGCGTGGATTTAACAGTATCAATTTGCCACTTAAGCTTTTTTGGAGAGCAAAATTTCCTTTTCAAAACCCCAAATTGTTGACGCATGTGCTGAAAGCAACCTATTTTTAATAAGCAAGTTTATCAAAAACTATTTGTTAAAAAATCAAGATTGTCTAAAAAAAACTACGTCAAGCTAAATTTTTTGTCGCATTCTATACGTAAAATCGAATAACAAGACTGCTGGTATCAGGAAAAAATTAAAGATTCCGAGAGCCGCTTAATGTATTGAAAGTAGCTTTAAAGTCTCCAAAGTTGTTTTTGTTGCCAATGGATAGAACATTTCTAACAGGACTGCTTGTATATAATCAACGCCATGAATATTCTGGCAACCAAATGACCTCTATCAATCATTTTTCATTTTTTATTGAACGTTTTAATGTTTCATAATCAAAAAATAGATAATTTTTCAGATTTCTACAAAATTTTCCCCACAAGTTTTTGCCTAACAAAATTTCGAGTATAAATTGCTACAATTTGCATCTAGGATTGTATCAACTAGACCAAAAATCTAATCCATGCAAATTGAAAACTTGTATATAGCCTGCATTGTACAGCTGAAATTGGTCAAAATGGCAAACCGCCATAACTCTCTGCGAAAAATATCACTGTAATTTAAAACTTCGTCAAAATTTGTTAATCAAAATGTCCAAATTTGTATGAAGAAAAAACTTGCACCGAGAACTAATGTTTCTCACTTTTTTTAATAAAAAAACCAGAAAAAACCAGAAACAATGGCTCTCTGAAATATTACGTAATGAAGTAATCAACGTCGCCGTATCAGATTTGGGGTCAAAATTTTCTACAGAGTAACACCAAACTTTTGTAGAAAACAAGGACAACCCATCACTGTCCATGTAGCGCAGAATGTTTTTGACCACGGAAATTAAAGTTGAGAAGTTTAAATGATTGAGAAAAAGTTGAAACTATTCAATTTTTTTTAAAAAAAGATATCGAAAAACTGAAATTAGTATAACGATGCAAAAACTATTTAAGTTGCACCATGTGGTTTGGTGTTATTTCCGTGTAATTTAAACCGTTTAGTTTTCTGTGTAATTTAAACCGTTTAGTTTTCTGTGTAATTTCTGGGAATTTTGTTTTAAAATCTTTGAATCCGAATCACGACTGAAAGGGCGTTAATATGATAGAACAATTGACACCCCTAAGAGCTTGAGCGCCATCTACAGGTGTTTTTTGTCTGAAGCGTAATCAATGCAAATTACAATGAAGGAAGCAAAATAGTTTAGAAAGTTGAAAAGATCAACTACGTTTCGAACTTCAATCTTCTTCAGAATTTCATTCTTAGTTCTAGCCGATGACATTGCCGGCTCTCTGAACAAGAAATTTTAAAAAACTGCTAAATTTTTTTTAAATTTAGGTATTGAAAAAAATAGATACTCTGATCAATTTATTATTGGCTTAGTGTTCTCTCACAATATGTTGGGAATCGAACCTGCAGCCTTTCGCTTGATAAACATGTGTTTGACTGCTTGCTTGCAGGGTGTCCTGAGCTACCACGCATACGAGGAGGGCAATATCAGCCTACTGATCAGAGGGTACGACAGCTATGGAAATATTTGTGGACACGAGAATGAGCCCATTGAGGGAGTGCCAAATTCCGGGTTGAACATGACCGATAAGGGGTAATTTTTTTTTAGTCAACTCTTCTTGAATCAAAACTTCAAATCAATTAGAAGTTGGACAACGGATGTTAGAAAATATCTCATCTCCCAGTCTTCCAGTCTTCTAAAATTTACTGACGTCATTTTATCCCGAAGCTAAGCTTTAGCTAGGCTTTGCAAAAAGTGTTTATCGATTTTTAAATGAAATTAAAGTGTTTCGTGTCAAATTGTAATTGACTTCAGGAATCTTCTCTATCTGAACCCGAATGACCTGGCCACAGATGAGTTCGTAAAGACAGTCTGCGTGGCTGAGTGTCCCGACCGCACCTACACTAGCAGAGAAGACATCCCAGTCCAGTTCTGCCTCCCGGGGGCAAGACAAGGGGACTCTAAGCTCTGTCCAGATGTGCCACTCTACGAATCGTAAGTTGGACAAGACAGTTTTTTAAATTTTCATCCTCACCTGTGATTTTTATCAAAATAAGTTTCCCCTAAGTACGGCCCGATTGTTTTTAAATTTGGCATAAATGGTAATCACCCAACTCTAAACACATCATGATCACCCAACTCTAAACACACTCTGGTCTTCATCATCTTTCAAAAATCAATTGCTACCGTACTAAGTTTTTTTTGTTGGTGGGGGATAGTCAAAAAACATGTAATGTAATTACTTACGAATACCGCTTAGGTCCATGGTATTGCCTGTTTAACTCCCCACAAAACTTGGCGACCGCATTTGAGTAACAACCACGACAGAACTTTATAAATGCATTTCGAGAACTTTTTTTTCCGACCACCGATGGGTAGGAGGAACATTGGATACTTTCCCCGACGCTAAATTTAACCCAAATAACATCTACATGAGGTCGAGTAATATGTCAAATTTGTACTACTTGGGTCAAAAGGCTAGAGGATTTATCCCATCAGGATAATCCCTCTCCTAATCTACTACCGGTAAAATTCTACCGGATTTATTACTTTGAAACTAAACACCGCATTATAAAACGCTCCCATTTTTGTTTTGCTTATAACAACCCAAACAATCCGAAAAAATGGCGAAATTGGCAATAGTCAAACTCTCATAATTTTCCGATAAAATAAGCATGAGGATTTTTTTTAATTGAGCTAAATTGAAACGTAAAAATCGGCCAGAGGAAGAAAAAACCACACCGAGCTCATATGTTAGATCCTTTTTTTCAAAATTTGGATCAACAAGACCGCTCGTATCAGGCTGAAGCACTGAATAATTCGACAGCTGCTTGAACCGTTCAAAAAATATGCTTAGAAAGTTTTTCTCTCAATTTTCAATATTTGATAATTTTCACGCTTTTGGAACGTTAACCAATATTGATAACACTAGCAGAGAAGAAATCCAAGTCCAGTTCTGCCTCCCGGGGGTAAGACAAGGGGACACTAAGCTCTGTCCAGATGTGCCACTCTACGAATCGTAAGTTGGACACATAGACAGACTGTTTTTTAAACCCTTCATCCTCACCTGTGATTTTTATCAAAATAAATTTCCCCTAAGTACGGCCAGATTGTTTTTAAATTTAGCATAAATGGTAATCACCCAACTCTAAACATATTCTTCAAAAATCAATTGCTACCGAACTCAGTTTTTTTGTTGGTGGAGGATAGTAAAAAAAACATTTAATGTAATTACTTGCGAATACTGCTTAGGTCCATGGTATTGCCTGTTTAACTCCCCACAAAACTTGGCGACCGCATTTGAGCAACAACCACGGCAGAACTTTATAAATGCATTTCGAGAACTTTTTTTCCGAGCACCGATGGGTAGGAGGAACATTGGATACTTTCCCCGACGCTAAATTTAACCCAAATAACATCTACATGAGGTCGAGTAATATGTCAAATTTGTACTACTTGGGTCAAAAGGCTAGAGGATTTATCCCATCAGGATAATCCCTCTCCTAATCTACTACCGGTAAAATTCTACCGGATTTATTACTTTGAAACTAAACACCGCATTATAAAACGCTCCCATTTTTGTTTTGCTTATAACAACCCAAACAATCCGAAAAAATAGCGAAATTGGCAATAGTCAAACTCTCATAATTTTCCGATAAAATAAGCATGAGGATTTTTTTTAATTGAGCTAAATTGAAACGTAAAAATCGGCCAGAGGAAGAAAAAACCACACCGAGCTCATATGTTAGATCCTTTTTTTCAAAATTTGGATCAACAAGACCGCTCGTATCAGGCTGAAGCACTGAATAATTCGACAGCTGCTTGAACCGTTCAAAAAATATGCTTAGAAAGTTTTTCTCTCAATTTTCAATATTTGATAATTTTCACGCTTTTGGAACGTTAACCAATATTGATAACACTAGCAGAGAAGAAATCCAAGTCCAGTTCTGCCTCCCGGGGGTAAGACAAGGGGACACTAAGCTCTGTCCAGATGTGCCACTCTACGAATCGTAAGTTGGACACATAGACAGACTGTTTTTTAAACCCTTCATCCTCACCTGTGATTTTTATCAAAATAAATTTCCCCTAAGTACGGCCAGATTGTTTTTAAATTTAGCATAAATGGTAATCACCCAACTCTAAACATATTCTTCAAAAATCAATTGCTACCGAACTCAGTTTTTTTGTTGGTGGAGGATAGTAAAAAAAAACATTTAATGTAATTACTTGCGAATACTGCTTAGGTCCATGGTATTGCCTGTTTAACTCCCCACAAAACTTGGCGACCGCATTTGAGCAACAACCACGGCAGAACTTTATAAATGCATTTCGAGAACTTTTTTTCCGAGCACCGATGGGTAGGAGGAACATTGGATACTTTCCCCGACGCTAAATTTAACCCAAATAACATCTAAATGAGGTCGAGTAATATGTCAAATGAATGCCATTTTGCACGTAATTTGAGCAGAAATGAAACTATCTGAAAAAATTCAGTGTCAAGAAAATGCTGATTCAAATATTATTGCTTTGGAGCTTTGCTAGAGTGGATGAAGAACAAAAGATGGCTTTTTTTCCTTTTCCCCCACCTGCAATTTTTTACAAATAAACTTACTGTTCCCACGAACCGATTGCTATGAAAATTGACATGCTATATTATAAGGCCGTGACAAACATATTTAGTCTTCATAATTAACCTTGTAACAACCCTCATTACACCATAAAATTGATGCTGATGTGAGGTGTGAGGGGGGGGGGGGGGAAGAGCCCGAAAGAAGACTGTGTACAGATATGAGGAAAAATTCAGCTCAATTTGTTTTTACAAATTCTTAGTTACTTCTTAAGGAGTTAAGTTTTCCGAGTTATCACTCCATGTTGATTTTTTCCGTGTTGATTTTTTGTTTGATGTTTTCACAACATGACCGTGGTCGGAACATTCTGTGCTGCGTGATCAGGGAGGTCCATAAACGATAGGTCACTTAGAAGGGGGAGGATTGTACGGTTGATCCCTATAAATTCTTAATTTGTTTTATCTAGCAACAGGTAAATGCAGTTAAATAGAGCATATTTGAGTCGATACTCGTTATTTGTCGCCAGTTACCACGTGTTGTCTAGGACAGGTGTCTAATTCGAAGCCAAAAAATATATACCAGGGACGGATTTAGGCCGTTCCTACGGGATTCGATCCCCTGACCAGAGTCATTTCGTTGATACGACTTTACTACATTCGGTTTTAGATGAACGACCTTGAAAAAGTTTTAAAGCACCTTTGGCTCCATATACTTCAAATTTGAGCGCAAAGCTGTTTTGAGCTGTTTTTTTTCCTCAAAAAAGTGCCTGCGCTGCGAAAAACGTCGGCAAAATAGTTTCTGCACAAGGGTTTGAGAGAACTTGAAAAATCAATTTGACCGACCAATTAGCCAAACTCCCCTGAGAACATCCTAGATCCGATCCTGAAGAATTTGATTATACGGAGAATTGCAGTCCCTTGGAACTTTTGTGGAAGTGTTTGTTTAAGATTTGATGTGCTTTGGTGTTGACATACTATTACACGCTAAACTAGAACGAAACTAGACACCTGTCGTAGATTAGACGTGATCACAATGTGATTGCAGTGTGAACAAACATTCAAGTACTGCTCTTCGGTCGATTTGTACTACTCGTGTCAAAAGGCTAGTGGATTTATCCCATCAGGATAATCCCCCTCCTAATCTACTTCCGGTAAAATTCTACTGGATTTATTCCTCCGAAACTAAACACCGCATTATAAAACGCTCCCACTTTTGTTTTGCTTTTAACAACCCAAACAAAAAATAGCACAAAAAATGGGGAAATTGGTAATAATCAAACTCCCATAATTTTCCGATAAAAATAAGAATGAGC